GGGGAGGAGAGCCGGGGGTGGCCGTGCCCTTTCCCCCCCCCGGCCGGCCGGGCCGCGCTTCCCCTCAGTGCGGGCCGCCGTTACACGGCCGGTGTGGCGTGGGGGTGTGGGGAGATCCGCCTCGGGAGCGCTCTCCTCGCTGCGGCTTCGGGGGGATGCGGGCTGCTGGGTGAACGTGGTCGCGCTGCGCGGTTGGGCTTTTGGGTTTTTTTAGTGATGAAGAGAGGGGAAGGGGCAGCTTCGGAATTGTTCTGGGTGAGGGGGGAGCCCTGGAGCCAGCCCCGGCGTCCTGCAGGAAGGACGGGAGCGCGGGGCTCGGGAGGCTGCGGGCTGCCGGGGATGCTCTGGGCAGGCCGGAGGATGCCTGCGGGCTGCCCCCTCCCAGCAGGGACCAGGAGGAAACGTTGGCATTCTGCTTCTTATACAGGCTTGCAAGATGAAGCTGTGCCTTTTGTTTTTCTCTCTGGGTTTGACACCAGCTCTCCAGCCCTTCTCAGGCTGTCATCCATTGTTCTCCTGGGCACCATGAGGGTCTCTCGCCACTGTTTTTGGGGAAGCCTGGTTAAGGCAGGGGACCAAGAGGCTTCTTTTCTGACATTTTATTTCATACGTTGCCCTTCTGTTGGGAAGGGCCTCAACTTGCCTGAAACCTGAGAGAGCTACTGGCATATTGTTGAACCGGCTACTACTTGAAAGACAAGTGATTCTTTGCCTATTCCTGTTTGAGTATCTATCTTCTGTGTATTTCTCTAATCCTGAAGTCTTTGACTATGGAGGTTTTGGAGTGCTGGGCCCTATTCCAGCAAAGTTACTCAGACTGTTTACCCTTTCAACAAGTTTGTTTGCTGATTTGAGGCATGAAAGCTCTGTGTTGTGCAAAACTTGTGCTGCAGAAAGGAGGGAAATCTCAAGATTATGGAGACAGGTGAAATCGGAGGATTTTATGTCAGAGTGGAAAGGTATATCCTGGGAAACTGGGACCTGCTTAGAACCTGGTATTTCTCAGCAGGAGAGTGGCTGTAGTGAGATTACTACAGGTGAGGTATGGTTTAGGTACTAGGTTAGGTCCAGTACTTGGAGCATTTGGACAGGTCATTCTTTTTGTTATTAGTTGGTGGCTCTTCAGTATCACCCTCTGCATGTGAGTTAACCGTCCTGCTTTCCTGAAGCCAGAGCAGTACTTCTAAAAATCGTGGTTGGTAGCTAGGGTCATGGGGGGCCTGTGGCCTGGAGCATGCCAGCCAGCTCAGGTACGTCACTAGTCTGGCGCTGGCAGCATAGCAGGCTGCCAGGACGGCTGGGACGGGCTGGCCTCTGGCTGTTGGCAGGTGCCTGCTGTCTACATGTGAGATCCATAGGAACTAGGCAGGGTGTACCGTGCTCATGGCTGCACTGTGGATGCCTGCCAAAATCTCTACAGATGTAGCTGGAGTGGGTGGCGGCTGGACTTTCCCACAAAATATGCATCAGCCAAAAAGCTGGCTTCCTGCCCAGATGGTGACCAGTGGTTCTCTGGCAGCCTTCATCTGAGGTCCCTGGGCTAACAAAAGATGTGATGCCTTGCCAGGGGGCACCATAATGCTGGGGAAGGGGAGCTGTGCTTCTACCTGTTTTATAGACTCGGTCAGAAATTGAGAGCCAAGCTCCAACTCCCTCTTTTTGTTATGCTGGGCAGCTTAATCTCTGAGCTTCTTACTCTACCTGTAACGCTTCTCTCCCTGTACTTGGAGATCTTGGCAGATCAAGAGCACTGTTCTGGCTGTAGAGTTGGTCTGTGTTTGCTGACTAAGAAGAGGGAACTGGAAACAGTGAAAGCAACAGTGAAAGCTTCTGACTGCCGCAGGTAAAAATGAACATAAGGCACTCTCTAGTCTTTTCTCTAATGCTGTTGTGCTCCTTGAAGACATCGGTGTTCACTCCAAAGACTTATCAGCTGAATCCAAACAGAGCTTGGACCGAATTCAGACAATGGAGATAGGACACCTGCTTTAGGGCTGGATGCACAGCTTCCCTTCTGTGGGGGGAAGCCAGTCTGAACACTTTCATGTTTTCACTGGCTGATTTCTAGCATAGTGATTGCTGTAGTGGTGGAAGTGGTTTTGCTGTTCAAGTTTTAGTATCTTTGCAGTGTTACAAAGGTAGGGGCATTAAAGAACTACCCATTTGTTTTCAGGAAGGTTATGAGTATGCCAGTCAAGAGTGATGATTGAGAGGACATGCGTGTGCTTATCTGCTCTGTAGAAGAGAATGGAAATAAGACTTTTGATTCTCGAAGGAGCCCTTCCTAGAGCCACGATGTTGTTAATTCATACCCCAGTTACTTCAGGTCACTTGATGTCTCCTGACACAGGAGTGATGGCTGCCTGCTACTGAGGAAGTAAGAAGGGGACACATACACAAAACAACAACAAAATCCCAACCCAAATGGTTGACTGTCTCCTGAATCACTTATAGCTGTGGTGTTTCCGAATAGCTTCTAAAGACTGGATGGGTAATGCTACATCTGGTAACCTGTGGAGGTCCTAAAGCTCTCTAAGATGCTGTGGTACTCGGAGTGAGCAGAACAGCTGGTTTGTAGTGATTGTTCACAGAGTAAAGTACCTGCTTTATGTCAGAGTTTCCCATTCTCAGGCTGCAGTGTAATGGAATCCTATATCTCATCTCTTGCTGAGTAGTCAGCCCTTGGGGTGTCTCTCTCTGATCCACCTCATACACCTGCCTTTTAGACAGCTTCATTTCTGCTTCAGACAAGACTCAAGTTAATTAGGTTCTTGCATACATGATACTCTAAATATCTCCATTAGTGCTTACATCATATACTGTAAACAGCCTTAGAAACTTTAGCTCCTAACATATCTGTTTGAGGATTAATTTCATTCACTGGCCTTGAATCCTGTTCTGTAGGAGTTGGGAAATAGTTTAGGTCTTGGGTTCCCTGTGGAGATGGATTCAGAGATGTGAACTTTGCCCATGAGGCTTTCTGGATCTCATACATCTGTCTATGTCCCAGTCGCCTTCATGACTTAGGTTTAAGTGACTTTGTAAATCGTCTTTCTGATTTTTCTGCCTCATGTGCTCTGCAGATATAATGGCAGAAGTTAGTCAGGCTTTTCTAGTTAGACTCTGCCCACACCCCCAGCTAGTTATGGGAGTGTTGCCTTTTACAGCAAACCTAAATTCAGGCTGATGGAATTTCTTTCCTGAAGATGGGCAGCTCTTCCTGCAGCTAATCTCCCTTAGACTCTTCTGAGCAGTGTTCAGTTGCAGTTAGAGTAGCAGGGCTGCCATTCTCCTGCCCTAGCAAAGAAGTTGCTGTCATCCTCTGTTTTGGTGATTTCTTTTCACTCCCTTTCCTTTGTTTCCCAAAGGTCTCCACAGTAGAAAGGTGCATCAGCTTCCCATGGCCTGATTTGGACCTGTAGGCATGATCAAGGGGGGAATTTGGATGTCCTAGATTGACAACCTCTGCTCTCTATTTTGCTGAAGTTCCATCATCTAGGGCTGTAAGTGCAAGTTGGATGTTTTGGGTGGTGTGTTGGGAAGCTCATCAGTAGCTCTGAAGGAACTCAAAGATCTGAGGTCTTCCTTTTGGTTTTGAACATGACAAGTCACTCTTGGGCTCTTGACCTGTTTCTTAAACACAAGCCATTTCAGGTGGTTTTATGTCTCTATTGAGTGCTGTAGTAAGAATTCCCCTTGGAGAACAACCAAGTCTGTCCTAGGACTTTCCTGTCCTTCAAAATCCTAAGATACTAGGTTGGCCAAAGCTAGGACTGATTCTCTACTAGCATGATTAGAATTTGACTTTATAAATGTATGTGTGCATGCCTATCTACTTTAGGTTGGGTAGGTGTAGCGTTATTTAAAATAATGCCTAATAAAATGATTTGAAGGGTTTCATTGAACAGGAGCTTGTGTTCCTTCCAGTGAATGATGGTTTGTATTTGGTGACAGGACTTTTGTTGGTAATGTTTCTGGTTAGCTTTTTCCCTCTCCTTGTTTTGTTCACAGTTCTAGCCCAATTACTGAAGCTTTGATCAAACATCAGATAAATACAGCTTTTCCTCTGTTTCTGCTGTTTCTAGTTCAAGAGGTGATGGGTGTTGCTGTTAGTGGATTGTTTTGCCTTGCAGCAGAGGAAATGAGATGATATTGTCTTGCCCAATTCAGAGGGAATCCTCCAAAGACATCTTTTGAAGAGAGCCACAGTAATTTCTTTCCCGTTCTCAATACGAAGAACAATACTTATTTTTTTACTCTGAAACTTTTACTGCAACAAATTTCTTTCCCTTTCTCCTGAAGTTTTGGACCCTCTTGAAGGACAGTGAAAGTTGGTGATTTAAAGCTTCTAAAGGTTTTGCACTCCTATTTTATGAGAGCCAAGAAGACAACCAAAATCTGCTGTTTCCTGTCTATAACCCCTTGCTGCTTTGTCTATAATCCCTTCCTGCATGTTGAAATGGTTTGATTCTTTGGCAGCAAGGTACCTTTATTAGATGGATTTTGTAAATATTGCCAGTGTTACCTGTGAGCAGAGGCAGTCGGTGTCCATGTCCAGTATTGCATGCCAGCTGTCTGAAGGAACATGTGGATGTGGCTCATAGAAAGACTTGAAACTTCTTCAGTATATTTCTTTACAAAAAAAATGCTGAAGTTCCGAACTGTGAACCAGGCACCTTCTAGAAATAGAAATGAAATCTGTGTTTCATTCTGGAATGGGAAGTAGGCTAATTTCTGGTAACAAAGACTGGTTGCTGTTAGATGATGTATATTTGTGGGATGTTAGCTTTCTTGGACTGGTGTGTCTCAGCCTAGTCCTGGTCAGTAGTTTAGGGCAGGATGTAGTCCATCTTGGCTCTTGGGCATGCATTAGCCTAAATAAAATAGACTCATACAATTTTGGTGACATGAAATTCTTTATATCCAGAAGGAGAATTATTTCAAGCCTTAGTCTGGAAAGTTGGCCCTTTCAGAGGCTTTTTTTCCTAAAGGAGGGCAATTTAAATGCTTTAGACATTTTCTTCAAATCAGCATGCAAGAAAGGAATTGTTGTGCATAAGGCAGTAGCGGTTAGTGGAGCATGTTAACTTTCAGGATCAAATGCTAAAGTTCACTGATCCTGTGATTCAGAATTTTTTCCAGTGTGTCACCAGACCATCAATTCTCTCTGATCTAAGCTGTATCTGTTTTACATGCATTTGTCAGAAGGAGGAGGATGAGGCGGGGGACAGTTCAGTAATGGAAAGAGCAGAACCTTGCTGCAAAATGGTGATGGAAAAACCAAATATTAGGAAACAACCTGCCGTGCTTTCCAAGACTTCAGCCAGATTTTTGTCTTCAGTGGAAAGGAAGCGGGCAGTGCTCTATGAACAACTGACTGGAGTAGGAGAAATGAACTTACTGGCTTCCATCTTATATTTACTAATTTCTAAAACAAAAAGCCTGCTAGAAGGCTTCATTGTGGTTGAAGTGTTTGCTGTGTTTGTTATATCCAGCATCACTATAGTTGCACATGCAACACTAATTCAGTTCAGGTAGGAACTTGTGAGATTTTGGACTCCTCAAGGGTAGAGAGGAGTCCAACACTTGCCTCTGCAAGTGTTCCTGTATAAAGCCTTTTCTTAAGTTGTCTATAGGGTCTTTTGGTGATGGCCTCATGAAGCCCTTTCACCCTTGGTGTCTCTAGAAGTATGTGTCCTGTGAACTGGAGTGTTTTCTATTACTTTGTGTGGCTTTCAAGTTTATGAAATTGCAGATAGTCCAATAGAGATGTTTTCTACTTATTTTACTGGATCTGAGACATGGAGGGCAGGGAAGAGGGAACACTAGGTAACATGGGTAGAACAGAACCACAAGACCTTCCATTGGTCTTGCACAGTACCTCTGCTGCATGATTATTTTTTTTTTTTAATCCTGTTTATAAAAATAATCTTCACTTGTTTTGCAGCTTCTTTTTTTCCCTATGGAAGTGGACATGTATCTTGTTCCTACAAGACGTTCCTGATAGTTGTTTTTTTTGGGTTTTTTTTTCTAACTTTCATGATCTGTAGCTTTGAAGAGGATTCCAGTCTTGTGACCCACAGTTCTTTGTCTCCTGAAAAAAGTCCAGTCTACTGTGCCATCACCTTCACCAACAACATGGAGAAGTTGACATTCAAAAGGCCTATTTCTGTGTCTAAGGTACTCATTGGTCTTTGGGGAAATACTGTTGCCTGTCTTTCTGTCACCATAATTTGGGAAAGCCCTATCTGTTTTCTTAGGGATTTTGCTGGAATCCTGTGGGCGTAGGTGCTATTGAAACCATTGGCCTTCCTGGAAGAGTTCTCCCTGGTGACCACAAGTAGCAGTGAAGAGTCTCTGGCACCATTTTCTAAATTGGTCAACACATGGGCTTACTCTGTTCCTCTCTGATTGGAATGAGGAGGTTTTATTTTAGAGAGCTGGCTTTTGGTGTGGGAGGAGTGTCTCCCATAAGACTAATCCTGTTTCCTTGACATCTGTGGAGGCTAGTTACAGTAAGCACATGCTTCAGTGTGTTTAAGTTACCTTCATGTAGGGCACTGTATTGAGCTTTTGCACTCAGCATTGCAGTTTAAGATTCTCATTTTGGTGATAAGGATTTAGCAAAAATACGCTGAAATGCTTCCCTGTCTTCACAGTACTATGGAAATAAGACTGAGCATTAAAACAGCCATTTGTTATGACCTTTTTCATATAAGGGGAAAACAAGACAGGGACACGTGATGATGGGACTTGTCTGAGACATCATGTGCTCTCTCCACTAATGCATGGGTCTTGGGTATAGTGACAGGATCTCTTGTAGTCAGTAGCAGAACCTGTTCTTGGGTATTAAAAGCTACTTGTTGCCACTGCCCCTTTTGGCTTATAGGCTATACTTCTGTCTTGAAAATTACAACTAGATAATTTCTGTTCAGGCTTTCCTCCGAAGAACTGTATGATGAAATGCTAGACTGGAAATAGATGTGTTGGTGAAGGGACAGAAACAAGAATAAGTACTCATTAGTAACATGATTTTAGGTATTGTAAGGTAGGCAATGATGTGAATGCGTGGTTTCCCATGGTGTAGAACTTGAATAACTTTGATATTCTCAAAAGATGTTGTTACATTGTTACAGCAGAGTATATGAATTACTCTGATTTTTATTTTTTTTTAATTTTTTTTTTCCTTTCCTCTCCCTCAAGGATGAAATGCCTACACTTCCTTCCCAGGAGAAGCCAGATATGAACTCATGCCCTCATGCACCTGGCAGATATTTTCTCCCTGGTGGGATGGACAATGAGAACTGCAAGGCTAATGAGAAGGAAAGGGAGTGGATCCGCCCTGATACACCTAGCAAATGCACATGGAAGCTTGGGAAACCCCTCTCTGCCTCCCCTCATCGTCATACCACTCTGTAAGTATTACTTTTATTTGTTGATTTTCAGCAGAGCGTTAATCCAGGTCCCTTCAGAGACATGTATTTTTAACAGAAGATGACTGGTTTAAATTGATGCTGTTTGTCATGCTGGTGCTTCTTAATTTTCATGTATAAGCAAAACAAAGAACCCAGATTAAGCATACAAGAGGTCTTGCACCAAAGATATGAAACTACATGGACTGGAACTAACTTAAATAATTTGGCAAGCAGTTCCCTGACTAGATGAAAGATTGCCCTGTTAATGCCTTTTGCTTCTAGAATAGCTGACTCTCAGCACTGCTCAGCTACTTCATGCCAGGAGGAAGTGCAGAGCACTTCATTCTTGCCTCAGCACTTGGCTTGATGTCTGATTAATGCTTGTTTTGGATCAAGGACTTGATGTTTTGTGAATTTGTATCCAATGGGCATTCTTTTAACCCAAAATATCTAAAACAACTAGCCTTATAAAGGGGAGGGAGAGAATAAAACTGGTTGAAATAAAAAGCATTGGAAATACTGTGTTGCTCTTGTGTGACCTGCCTGTGGCCCCTTCTGTGAATACGCTGACTTTTCTTGTATGTATACTAGGCCAGAGCCTCTGAAAATTCTGCCAAGCATCCTGAATAAAGTTGGCAATACGCCCTTGGTGAGAATCAACAAGATTGGGAAGCAATATGGGCTCAAGTGTGAACTCTGTGAGTACTGCTGTACAGGCAGAAAATCAAAATAAGAACCATTGTTTCAGAAACATGGGTAGTCCTGGTTAGTAGTGTTGTGTAACCTGAGCATAGGAGGAGTGCAGGTACCCTGCAGAAAATGGTGAGAAAAATTCCTCTTTTTCCTCAGCATATTTTCAGGGTTCTAGGATTTGGTAATCTAAAACATCTTTCAAGTTATACTTCATGAGGACATTTCCTACACTTATTCCATTTTTGTAGAAAAAGTAAAACTTTTTTCATAGAAAATAATTTTTTAATTTTAAAAAAGTTTTATGAAGTTTTTGACTGCTGCTTATGTTCAGAGTATTCATCAGTGTGTGTAAAATCCAGACCTGCAGTTACCCCTAAAGATCACTAAAAATGATGGAAGGGAAGGAAATGTCAGTGAATGTTTTCTTGTTTTTTGTTTTTTTAACTCCAACCATACTGGAGATATACAGAGTCTCTGATCAGAGTCCTGAAAGGTGATGTTTAACACCATTGAAGGGATTAATGCTGGGAGTATTGAAGTGGAAGTGGAGGCTAAACAAGGGGAGAAGCTTCCAGTTTGATCAGAAACTCTTTAGCAGGGGAATGTAGCAGGGAAAAGGCAAGGCATGTTGCTGGAGTTCTCTTCCCCCATGGTATTGCACTGGAAGAGCCCTGGGGCTTTTTATGCTGATGACTGGTTTGTAATATTTAAAAATGAAGGATTGAAAGGAGGGGTCATATTTTGAAGAGACTTGACAGAGTATGGGTTCCTGGCTTCTGTGGCCAACATCGAGTACCAGACTTGCGCTGTTGTTGTGACCCATAACAGCAGAGGTGGTGTGAACTGAATGCCCGTCACTGGTGTTGTAAAGCAGGGAAGTGAATTGGGCAGACATGTTAAGAGTTGCTCTTGTGGATATGTTAGGGATCAGCAGCCTGTTAAGCAAATGACTGCTGTTTAAGAACTCTGCTTGGTTTCTTTGTTTCCAGTGGCAAAATGTGAGTTCTTCAATGCTGGGGGCAGTGTGAAGGACCGCATCAGCCTGAGAATGGTGGAGGATGCTGAGAAGGCTGGGATCTTGAAGCCTGGAGATACAATCATAGAGCCAACCTCTGGAAACACAGGTAGGGGATGGAGAGACCCTAGCAAAGTGTGGGGGAAAATGCTTTGCTGTTTTTCTGGGAGGAGGCAGGCTTGAGATTAGAGCATGAAGGCTGCCTGTGCAAGGAAGAAAGGAGATCCCTTCTTGCCTGCATGGTGTAGGGAGCAGTGCCTCTTCCATCTCACAAAGGAACAATTCTGCTGTGTCCAATGCTGACCAGAACTTCTAGGGAGGAGCTCTGCTAAATCTGCAGGTTGTCTTTTCTTTAAAAGAAAAGGAGTGGTAGGCCAGATTCACTAGGGTCTTTAGGTCCTATTCAGGAATTAAAATCTGCATGAAATTATTGGAAATCAAGCACCAAGAGACTAGTGAATCTGGATCTTCCCCTTCTGTTTGGGAATCCCATGGTCCTCGTTTCTACACTCTGTCAGGTGAGGTGGGCCTGGTTTGAGAAACAACCTTTCCCATGTAGTGCAGCTGAGATGGGAGATGAGCTTCATCCCTGCGACACTATCTGCTAACACAACCCTTGCACACCTAGACTGTTGATAGATCCACTTGGATCAATGTCTCTTCCTTGGAGGACTGGAAGAAGGAACAGTCCCATTAGTCAGGGGCCAGGGCAGAGCATCTGATAATCTAAGCAGGCGAGTTAAATCTGGGCTCCTACATCACAGCTGTTGTACTTCTGTTAAGCTGCTCTACTGGTGGGGAGTAAATGTACCTGGAATATTCCCCCTTGAGCTAGTTAAATACAGAATATACTGCCTCCTTCGAGGAGGATCCTGAGCTGAGCTACAGGCTACTTCTCTGCCTGATGTGCTCTTGGAGGGGTGTTTTGTCCTATCCTTAAACCCTTTCCGGGGTATCCATTCACTATTGCCTCCTGATAAACACAGGCCAGCAGATCTTTCTGTTGTTCTTTTGATCTAGTCCAGACTTTGTTAATGGAGAGATGGGGATGATGAGCTGATCTGTGACTAGTTCCCCTGCCTTCAGCAGAAAACTGGGAAGTTGTATCTGTTGCTGTTTGCTGAGCAGTTGCTCTGTAGGGGGAGCAGTGCAACTAAAGCCCTTGTTACTGTGGCTATACCTCTCACCTGAATAATGGCATGTAGTGGAAAATATCCATATATTGCATTTCTCCAGTATCTGAGGTCATACTATGACACCGTGCTTTTTGGGTCAGTACCTGATAAATGGTTCTCCTTGCCACAGAATTCAAAAGATAGAAAGAAGGCAGAACTGAAGGAAGTACAGGACAATTAGTTCAGAAAGCTGTCTTTTTTGATTTAAAAGCAAAGACCAGGGCAGACAGTAACCTGAGAGAAGTGGCTTTTGCTCAAGGCTACTGCTGCATATATTAAGTGTGAGAGCTAATGTGTTACATTTTTGTCCTCTCTGCATCCCACTTCTCCCTCAACCAAAGTCCTGTTTTGATGTTTGCTGCATTTCCAGGTTGGTAGCAGAAGGTAAAAACTGTTAGAGTTCAGGTCTTGAAATGCTTTCTTCATCACAGACCATAAGGGAGGATGCTGGATGGCTTCTTTTCAGTCTTTGACCTTAGTGACGCCTTTGTCTTACTTTTTTTTTTTTTTTTTTTGGCATCCATATTTATCTGTAATATACAGGGAAAAGTTTGTTTTCTTTTTTTCCCCTGCTCCCAAATATTTAAATACTACTTGAAGTACTTGAGGTATGAGTTATGCTTCTCTTCAGGAACAATTAAAGATTTTTCTTTCACCCCTACACAGTCCGGCACCATGTAGAAACAGAGCCAGCTTTGAACAAGCAAGTCTCTGTGTAGGGTGAACTGCCTGTGAGCCTTTGTCACAGGCATATGTTGGTATTGTGCCTGGTACCCAGAACTGCAGGGGAGGTGCCATGCAGCCTGACCTCAGACACATCTCAGCTAACTTGATCTGTTTAGCTTATCCAAGAGAGAGGTGATTTGATAACAGGTGTAAGCTTCTCTTCTGTGAGGAAGGCACTTCTGAGCTTACCTCTTCAGGTAGGCAGACAGTGGCAAGCTGGAAGGCAGAAATCAGGCTGGAGGTGCAGATTTTTAAAGTAGAAATCAGGTGTCTTGTATCTTAACAGTCATACTTCAGTATGGTAGCAAGTTGACATAGTGCATTAGAACTGCAATCACACACGGCATCTAAGTCATGTGTTTTTAGAAAGGTCTTAGTTTTGACACATTGCAAACTAGGGATTTAATGCAGAAGTGAGTCAATAGAGGTTCTAATACTCTTCTGACAGTATCAGAATGATTGTTCTAGTCATCTTCAGCTTAAAGCTCATTCCTTTCCCCAAATACTTCTGTAAAAATGAAGTGGGTGAGACAGGACAAAGGTGATGTGCATGTGGTAAAGCTCGCAGTTTGCACATGTCAAGTTTCCCCACCCTTGGCTAAACTTTCTGTTGACTGTGATCCTCAAAGAACTATCAGCATCTGTAAATCCAGTTTTCCTCAGCAGCCAGAAACATTCCCTTTGCCACCCCTCTAAAGACACTGTACTCAAACCTCTGGTGAAAATCTGATTAAAGTCAGGGCATGCCAAAGATAGCATTGTGGGTTTTGTTCTTTGTTGCTTCTCACTGTATGCTCAACTTGTCTTTGCTTGCTTCCAGGAATTGGGCTGGCCTTGGCTGCAGCAGTGAAGGGTTACCGCTGTATCATTGTGATGCCAGAGAAAATGAGTATGGAGAAGGTCAGATACGCATTTATTTTCAAGAATTAAAAAATAAGCATGCTTGCACTTGCAGAGTTCCTGGTGCAGATAGTGCTGTGGCTTTAGCAATGGTGGTGTAGGCTCTTGGCTTCCAAGTCACTGGCCAAGCGGAAGTCTGCTGAGGGCCTATTGCCAGTGTCCAGAGAAATCCAGGCTGGCTAGCCATGGACAGAAGTGTGTTTAAGATCTGTCCCCACAGCATTGTCACTTGGAAAACTGTCATAACTGGTTAAATACAAATGCCAAGGGAACTTGAGATTTACCTAGCACATTGAAGTAACTACTCACCCCTAGGTAAGCTGTTGCTTCCTGAGTAAAGGGGGATGAGGGAAGGCAATGCTGAAGCTTTGAATACTCTGTTCTGCACTGGGCTGAGCAAGTCAATGAGGGAGCCTGCTAAGTTCCTCAGGTTACACTGGTGGGTACTGGCAAGCTTCCAAGTTTTGTCACCACAGCAACAAAGGGGAAGGAAAAACCACCTGGGTAATGTCCACTTACCTTCACTATAGAAAGCACAAAATATTCAGCTCTAGAGCAAGCCCTGTCCTGCGCTCCACTAGGGTGGTGCTGCACCTGCAACCAAAAGGAGATCCCCTGTGTTTCACAGCTGAGGCAGCAAATTCCTCTCAGCAAAACTGCTTATCTCAGTTCAAACACTTCCAGCATTTCAGCGCAGCGGCACAAATGAGAACAACGTCCCCTGAGGGCCTATACCCATTACTTGCTCTTAGCTGCTCTGGAGAGAGGGGTACCACATGGCCATTGCCGTGTGCCACGCAACACTAAAGGCCACCCCTCTGAAGACAGGCCTTGCCTTAGCTCAGTGTCATAATCCTCATAGCAGCTGAGCAGTGCGTAGGGTCCTGGAGGATCTTCTTTGCTGCCTGTATCCAATGGAGGAGGTAAATATACATAATTTGCACTTAAAATGCTGGCCTACAGCACTATTGGAATGCAGTACATAAGTGACTGCTATGAAAGAAGATGATGTTTTGCCTGAATGAGACTTCTCAATGTGTAATAATAGTCCCTACAGGCCTGAGGCCTAGAATAGAAACAGGAATTTGACACCTAGCTCCCAAGTAGAGCTTAATTAAGATCAAATGGCATTAGGGATTTGGACCCATGGCTACTGATGTGAGGTTGGGTTTAGGAGAACTGCTAAGGAGGCTATTGAGGACCAGGTAAAAGGGAAGATGTTTTCTTTCCCCTGCATCCCCATGAAGTCTCTGTGCTAGGAGAGTGTTTTGGAGTTCTGTGACCTTTGTTTGCTACAGGTGGATGTCTTGAGAGCTCTGGGTGCTGAGATTGTGAGGACCCCCACTACTGCCAGATTTGATTCTCCTGAATCTCACGTGGGAGTAGCATGGAGACTGAAAAATGAAATCCCCAATGCACATATACTAGACCAGGTAAGAGCCAAGGCGTCAGAGGTGCAGGTGCAGTGTGGGAGAAGGTATTTCAGCCTTGTTCCTCAGCTGTTGAACATTCAACCAAGGACGACGTTCACAACAGCTGAGGTGTGTCTCTGGAGGAAAAGGGGTCCCAGGTCTGGAGCTGTAGTTAAGCCACCACTGTGCTGTAGAGTAGCAAGCTTTTATAGTCACTAGAGGGCAGCAACAAGCCTATGTTTGAAGAAACTGCAAACCACATGGCTGGCTTTTTCTGCTGAATTGGCAGTCTTGTGTGGAAGGAAGAATGGGTACAAAGGTCATGTTCCTAAAAAAACCGTCCCGCAGACAGGACTGATCTTGGCATTGGAGGGTGCTGGCACCTTAGAACTACTCTTAAATTAGGTCACTTAGGAAGGTTGTATCTTTCCTCAGGAATTCTGCATAGGTTAATAGCTAAGGAAACAGTCTGGAAAGAGTATATGTAGCTGTCATGGAGCTTGGAGAATGTTTGTCATGTTCTTGAAATGCAATGTAAATTTTGTCTTTCTGGTCTACTTAATGGTTATTCTGTCTTTTAATATAGTACCGTAATGCCAGCAACCCCCTGACGCACTACGACACCACAGCTGAAGAGATCCTGCAGCAATGTGAAGGTACGTTTGCTCTACTGCTAAGCCCCTCTTCAGTGAGTCCCTAATATTCTCTTGTTGTTAGGTACTTGGAGAATGGGACCTGAGGTGGTTGAGGAGTGCATGGATTTTGATGTAGCAAATACAGTACATATGCTGTGTGTCATTAGAGTTTCTATTCACTATTTCAGTAGCTGTAGTAATGAAATTTTTTTTCCATTAAAGAAGGATGCTTTGGTTTTTATACTCCTCCGCTTGTCATCAGGTCAAGAAAGCAGTTTGTTTTTTTTTAAAAAAAGATATAGCTAGAATGTCATAAAAGAATAGGGTCGGCTTTCTCTGATTGCAGAAAGAGGAATAGGTCTTTTTACATTCTCAGACCAAATACTCCATTACACTTGAGGTTTCTTAGTTAGGAGTCTTCAGGAGTACAAACTGTTGCTGTTGTCACCAATAAGACCGCTTTACTCTGCAGGGGTCACTTCAATGTTAGCGCTGGGCAGCTGAGTTGGAGTACTGGAAGTGATTGAGCTGTGGCAGCAGAGAGCTTTGGCTGGGCTAACTCACCCAGCTGCAGAACTGATTTGAGAGCTGTTGGAGGCATTCGGTGTGATACTGCAGCCTACCACACAGGCATTTGCAACAGATGGTAGAAGGAAGTCATATAGGAGGCTAGTGACCTGCTTTATAAAACAGTAGTTTCTGATGGGACCCTTTAATAAGGAAATCAGCTATTAATTTCCTTCTCATTAAGGTGAGAACCATATGAAGGGTTGTCCTCTCCCTTAAAAGTAACTCTAGCTGTTGAGAGGATTTAGCTTGTCTTTATGGCAAATTTTTCTTTGAGCCTGCTTTAACAAACTGCCGTCCCACAAACTGAGAGTTTAGATGAGTTCTAGCTTTAGGCTTCTTGTTTATATTTACTTTTCCTCATAGGCCAGGCACTGCCTAGTTATTACTGAGCTTAGACCCCTGCTTGGCATGGTGTTATTCTTTTGGCTGGTAAGCATTTGTTTTTGTGTGTGAATTGGTGACCTTTTAAAATGTATTTGTTATTAGCAAAGCTGTCATGTGGTGCACCATAGAAACTGTAGAGGGTGGCAGAAGAATGAACTATCATACCTGCACTCACTTGGAGTGCTCGTGACTGAAACAGTATTTTTCACATGAAAATGAGAGAATAGTTGCGTTAACAATTCTCTCAATGAATACCTATCCCATGCTCTTGGCACTCATTCAGTAGATTAACAAATATAAAGGGCTGCTTATTTTAAGTTAAAGAATGAATTATCTACTTCAGCAAATACAGTAACAGGAGAACTACAGGTGTCAGCTGTATGGGCCACCTCCAGCTCTATCTAGAGTACCACAAATTGGTGCCTTGCCAGGCCACTCAATGAACATTTCAAAACCATTGTTGAAATAAATGGAGACTGAGCATGGTGGTCTTAAGGTAGGCTTCATAACACAACTCTTGGGAAGTAAAGAGCCTTATATTGCCCATTTTTGTTAGAAAAAGTCCATACTTAGGTTTGAGTGGGTTTTTAATCCATCATTCTGGGGGAGATTTCACAACTGCCTTCTATCCCTCACCTTTAAACAGGAAAAATAGACATGCTGGTGGCTACAGCTGGCACAGGAGGTACCATCACTGGCATCTCCAGAAAGCTAAAGGAGAAGTGTCCAGGTTGCAAAGTAAGTGGCAAGCCTAAAGCATTTCTCTTCAGCGGGGTGAATCTTAAACTTCTCCACTTGGTACGTCCTATTCCTTGCAAGCCTGCCCCGTGTCTCTGCAGGAAGTTCTTGGATGTTCTCAGTTAGAAGTTCTGAGCTGAAAAGAAAGTTTTTCAGACTGTCTGAAATCATCATGCTCTGGTCTCACTGGTGACCAGACTTCAGGTTTGGCTCAGTGGATGAAAACTGGCCCTTTGATCCCTTCCTGGGGTGTCTGCATGGGATCCCTTCTCTGGTGTGTACTGCAGCCTTGTTTCCTCTCTGACTGTTCCTTCATTAACTTGTCTGGAGCTGCTGAGGTTTTATCCAGTTAAATTTTTCTCTGCACACACTAACTTGTGTGTCTACCTGTGTGCTGTGTTAGATTTCCTCACAGAAGTTGGTATTGTGTTTGTCGTGAATATTTTCCTACATAGGCAGAGAGTAGTAAACCAAATTAAACCTACCTGCTTACTCTTGGCCAAAATGTATTGGCTGTAATGATGTCTGATGTGAACGAGGACAATCATGCCTCAGGGAAACCCTATCTTCCGTTTAAACCAAACAAACCTGTGTAGAACCCGTGATGCCTCTCACTTAGTGTCCATAGCCTGAGGAGGCAGGACTGGTTGCCAAGGGGCCAGAAGCAGCAAAGCATTTTGCTCACAGGGGAGGTGGATGTTGCCAGGAAGAAATGAGTAAGAGACTAGGTTGCTGTTAGCTTGGCTGTGTGTGCAGCTGGTGTGACACCAACTGCTGTAATGAGGCCAGCACTCTGGAGTAAATAGCTGTTCTCAAAAGCAGTGGGTCATGGTAGCCTAAGTGGAAACTGCTTCTCCAGATTATAGGTGTTGATCCTGAAGGCTCCATCCTTGCTGCACCAGATGAATTGAACAAGACTGACAAGACAATGTATGAAGTGGAAGGAATCGGATATGATTTTGTCCCCACAGTGTTGGATAGATCTGTAAGTCATGCTGCTTGGTTTACTGCCCTTTGCCCTCTGTTGGGATGCAGAAGTGAGGTGAAAGGTGGAAGAAAAACTTGGGAAAGTATTTCTTTGAGCTGAAAAGGTAGGGGTGGGGTGTGTGTCTGGCAGACAGAACTATTCCTGTTATTTCCATCAGCAAAAGCAGTCCTCGGAAGGCTTCTGCACTGGCCACATTTGTTTTACAATGCTAGGTCAAAATGCTGTGAGCAGGAACGCTTTCCTCGAAAACAGTACTTTTTTTTAAATCTCAGCAAAGCACACCAACCCCTCCTGGCCAAAAGTGGTATGACTGTGTTCTGAGCAGAACCTGTGTCCCTGGGAGGCCCTCCAAGAGGGGAGGGAACCAATGCTGTCTGTGGCTGTGTCACAACAGCCTGTTCTCACAGCGAGGTTTCAATAAGGAGTCTGCTGTGCTAATGTGATCATCTTACTTTGGCAAAAAACCCCACTTGGCATTTGGAGGATGGAAACCCAGGCACATGGCTCAGTAGGGCAGCTGTTACCTCAGAGAGCATGGGCTGAATTCACACTAGTTGCGTGGCTCCCCTAGCCCTCTGCATTTAAATAGACCCTTGTTTCTGTCTTCCTGCCCCTTCCCAGACAGTGGACCAGTGGTACAAGAGCAACGATGAGGAGTCGTTTGCTTTAGCCCGCATGCTGATCCGAGAGGAAGGACTGCTGTGTGGTAAGAGCAGATGTGAATCCTCTGGGTTTCTCTGAATAGCATGTGGGAGGCTGAACCTTGTGCAGGTCAAGGAGAGCCCCTTCCACTTCAGAAGCTGTCTTCCTCGCCCCGGGCTCCTCCACTGTCTCTCCTCTTCTCTTTCATTCTTTCTCATTTCACTTACGGTTTGACAGTTTTGCCCCTTATCTGCACTTTGGCAGGTGGCAGCTCAGGCAGTGCCATGTCTGTAGCTGTGAAGGCAGCCAAAGAGCTGAAGGAAGGTCAGCGCTGTGTTGTTATCCTCCCTGACTCTATCAGGAACTACATGTAAGGACCTCCTTGTTTTCTCTCAGGGAAAAGGGTCGCTGTGTTGTAATCCTCCATGACTGTTATCAGGAACTACATGTGAGGACCTGCTTGTTTTCTCACAGGGAAAAGGGTGAGGCAGTCCCTCAGACCTCCTTACAGCAGTGGCAAGTTGAATACGTATTTCTTATAGCACCCGGTTATGCAAGCGAGGAATATGTTAGGGACACAACTGCTGAGGTACCTAGAGAGGGTCTTATGTGGAGTAGAAAGGAGCTTAGCCCTCTAAAAGCTGAGCTCCTCCTTGTGTCTGACTTCAGTATATAATCATATAAAACTGGTTAGCATCTTTCACGGGAAAAGACTTGCTTTCACTGTTATTGGGGACCACTGGTATTATCCTGCTCTTGGAGGGGTCCCTCTAGGGCTGTCTGCTCTTTCTGCCTGTGGTCACAGCAGAACACAGCACGACTGGAGCAGCAGCCAGTGTTGGGGTGAGTTTACAGGTGGAAGTGTGAGGGCTTTGAGCTGTGGTGAGAAGTTTCTCTCCTACCTCATTGAAACATATCCCCAAACATGATGTTTTTAGCTGTGTTTCCTGACTTCTGTTGCATCCAACACAATACTAGACAACTAGAACTGCAGACAGACCTTGCCTGAGTACAGGTTGGCACTTCTCCATTCCGGGATGTGTCTCTATCATATTGCAAGGGACTCTGATATAGTTGAAACTTCGTTTGCTATGAGATTCCTTTTTCTTCCTGTGAGCATTATTTCTCAGTGTCCCTGGCTGGTAAGCTTGGATGACAAATTACAGTATATTTTCAATTACACTTTAGCTTTTAGTGGTAGTGATCTGTAAACAGTTGCCGCTGTGGACTATTAGGTTTGCTGTCAGATGTTCAGCCTGGTACAGAGCTTTTAACTTCCTGATGCTTTTCAGGTCCAAGTTCTTGAGCGACAAATGGATGATTCAGAAAGGATTCATGAAAGAAGAAGACCTTGTCAAAAAACCTTGGTAAGCATGTCAAATCCATTTGGATTTTCATGAGTCTATTCAATCAATTTTATGGCAGTTACTAATTTAAAGCTCATTTCAATTTACAGTACTTCCTCTGATTTAGCTAATCTTTTATGCTATTGTGTTGCTGTATAATTACAGCTGTTAATCAAATCTGCTTAAATTAGTTGATTTCCTTTGTGTTGCATGACAGCAGAAGAAAACGGTACTTAATTATTTTTTAAAGGGTTTTTTTTTAATGAAAAGGGTTGTATCTGAAATGAAAAAGTGGTATACAGAGAACCCTTCTGAGATCAGACTTCTTGAGTGCAAAGCATTAGAAGTCTACGTAGGTGGAGGGGGATCTTCCCTAAATTGCTACCTGTAATGACTCTGAATATGGCTAACGCTTTGAGTAGGAGCACAAAATTTTCTGTGTAAAATATAAATAATGAAACTAGGGAGATTAGTACTCTCCACTATCTGTAATCCTAGAAAGTAGATTAAATCAGGAAAAGAGTTTCAGTCTTAAAGCTGCCTCACACTTCAGTGACTTTCTGATATGGAGGAGAAAACTTGAAAGCCTTGAAGCTTTACTGAATCCTGACTCTTCCTTGCAGCCTTTTGTCATTCCTGTAGTGTTGAAGGCCACTGTACATGAACAACTTGTTCTGTTCTCTCCGTAAGACTTGCATGGGTTTGTTTTTTATTTCATCCCCAGGTGGTGGAACATCAGTGTTCAGGAACTCAGCCTCTCTGCTCCCCTGACTGTGCTTCCAACTGTTACCTGTGCAAAGACTGTTGAAATTCTCCGTGAGAAGGGATTCGACCAGGTACCAGTTGTTGATGACTCTGGGTATGTCCACATATATCACTATTCATCTGTATGTATCACTTCCCTCACCAGGTTTCAGAGGATTTTTTTTTAATGCTTACTAGAAGTATAATATCCTCTCACTCATCTTTCTTCAGTTATAGTCACACAGTTCAGAAATGTTACCTTAAATATATTGATGCTGAACTTAATATGTTGTCATGCCAGGACTGTCCTGCCCTTCACATAATAGTCTTCTAATGATTATGATGATATACTTACTCAGTGTGTCTCTGCAGGTTAATTTCATTGCTTTTTTTCTAATAGCTGTTTAACTTAACAAAGCAAAAATTCATATTGAAAACAACCAACCTCAAACTTATTCATCTCCACCACAGCTTTCACCTGGTTTCTTCAGAACACTGTGTTACAGTGCAATGTTGTAGTGACCCCTATAAACCAGCTGTCCCCAGCAAGCTGATATGCCTTATTACCCTGTAGGTCTCCTGTAGGACAGGCTGAAGAATGAAGAGTTGCTGAGTTACTCTCCAGTTACAGTGCTAACTCAAGGGATTAATTGTTGCAGCTCCCTGCAACATCCTTGCAGGGATAAGGGGAATAAGCAAAATAAAGGCAAGCATGTGTCTGGCAAGCTGTCTCACTACAAGGTGTTCTCTAGTTGCAAGGACTAGAGATACAAAGAGCCTGATGCTCAAAATGGCCAGGCACCCACAGCAGCTGCTGACTTCTGTGTGCATCTCCAGAACTTCTGAGCACTGGACTCTTGTCTCCTGCAGAAGCACAGAGACCAAGTATACCATCAATAATGTTGCTTTATACCATGAAGCAGTTGAACCAAGTTCTCCAGGCCAGCTGGGAGTGGATGCTTCTATCTACAGGAGCAGCTGAGGCTTTTGTGTTGTTTAGCCCTATCTCACCTCTCTTTTTTTCCCCAGGGTGATTTTGGGCATGGTTACCCTGGGTAACATGCTTTCTTCACTGCTTGCTGGAAAAGTTCAGCCTTCTGATGAAGTCAGCAAAGTAATCTACAAACAATTTAAACAGGTAAGCAGTTATATTCTACAATTCCTAGTTCTCTGGTTTAAAGTACTACTGTGGGTGTCCTAACACTACAATGGCATCAGGTTGAGTAAGGTTTACCTGGGACCATACAGAGCAGCTGTTCCTGAGCACAGACGTGCTTTACACTCTGTCCCAGGTCACTCAATAGCTCCCAGGTGTTGTGACTCTATATTGTGCTGTTCCATTACTTCAACAGGCTTTCTTCTAGCATGTTTATCCTTTCTTTCTTCCCCCAAAATCCCAGCACAAATCTGGGCAATGTAACTACCCAGGGGAAGAGACAGGGAGATGTTGAAACAGCTCTTCTAAATAATTTCTATATTGACTGAAAACAAGCAACTGTCTGCCTTTTGTATCAGATGCCTGGCTGAAATGGGGAGATGGCTGCTGAAAGGTGATGTTGTCAAGATATGCGGATTTTGATGTTATTTTGATGTTAGCCAGTTTCACCTGTCTGTCCAATGTGGTGTGCCAGGATACCACAACTTCCCAGCTGTATGGGTGCTCTTCTAAAATATATAAGTATTGTTGCTGTTGCTTTGCTTCTCTTTCAGGAAAAGGATTTTACTTTTAACATGGACTGCTTGACCCTAGTTTTCACCAGTCCTTTAGTTTCAACATTGTCTCAGAGTAGATGAGGTGCTCTATTCTGGAAGTATGTGTAACACTTTGATTCGGTCTACAAACTACCAAGTCCCTGAGGTTCAGAAAGGATGCTAGTTCTTAATGGACAAATGTAAATATATTTTTTCCTTCCCAGACAGATAATCAAGCATCAGGTGGAAATGTGGTGCGTAACAAAACTGCTTAGTTCATGTTCTCCCTCACTTGGATCTTAAGAGTTTCTGGGGCTGGTGGTGTGCAATCATTTCTGTAACTACACTGGTGTTAGCTGTGGTAGCCAATTTTCTGAGGTTGTGGCTTTTTTCCATGGGCAGCTTGAAGTTTCTCATGCTTCTTCAGTAAAGAACAGCTTAACCATTTCTTTTCTCTTTAGTTCTGACTTTTTTCTTGGTGGAGGATGGAAGGGGAGTGACACAAAAGTGCTGGCATTGCTAATATGCTAACAAAAAGCATCATTCGTTGGTTATTTTCCATTTGAATTGATAATTTAACAGAGAAACATGGTTAAATGCACATAACCTCAGAAGTATTGTGGATTTTGCTTTTCTTACCACTTTAGTCAAGCTTATTTGGCTTGTTCACTGGTGGAATTGGGAAAATGGATCATGTGTTGCTGGAATGACTTGGGGTATCCTACAGTTAGGATCTGTACCATAGCATGCATCAATAAGAAGTTGGCTTAGCCTGTGACTACCAATGCAAACCTATCTTTCAGCAACTCAGGAAGCTTTTCTCTCTTACAGTGGAAGACTAATGGTTATAGCTTTTTTTCAAAGTCTCCAGTAGGATAGTACTCTAGGGCTTGAAAGCACTAGTCACAGGATAATTTGCCAATCCAAACAAGTGCTGTGTGTCAGCAGAGAGGAGGGCTGTTCTTGTGGAGTCATGTGTTAGTTCTAGTGCTTTGGGGTCTCTTTAGCCCTCCTTCCCCAAAGGATCTTTGCATCCACTGCTAACATCTGTTAGGTGTGGTGCATACACAGCCATAGCAGAATTCTTATCTGCCTTTACCAGAAAATAGGGCTGGGGCATGTTCCCTGATACTTCCTTATTACTAGTGTTTAATTGTCAGCCTGTTCCCTGGTGTGATTTTGGTTAGTGTCCTAAACCATTTAGCACTCTGCTAAACAACGCAAGGCCTGGTGTCCTCAGCATCCCTGGTGGACCAGAGCCTACTTCTGGGGAAGGAGAGAATTTAGTCATAGGGCCATGAGCAGTGCCGTGTCACTTGCCCTTAGAGCCACACAAACAGTCCCAGTGCGTAGGCTAATTGCTTTAAAGACTTAGTAATTTAAAAAAGATGCCGGAATGTGGGAAGACTGGTGGGCAAAATTTTTAGGGAGCTTGAATGAGCAGTAGTGAGACAGGTGAAAACTCCATGGCAGTTCTGTTAAATTTCCATTAAGAACTTCAAAACATGTTTATGTCTGCATAGTTGTCCCAGTGCTGCCTGTGGGCTGCTTGTCCTGCTCATCTTTAGCTCCCCAATCCCTGAAAACAGGTCAATTGATTTTACACAGTCAGATGGCAAGGGGCTCTACCCCTCCAGTGAGCTTTGAACTTAGGTTCAAAAGTTAGGCTTTGCACGTAGGCTAGCACAAAACTGCTTGTCGGTGGTGGTGACAAATAGCTGACTCGATGTGGCAGGAGGTCCAGATTTTTCCCTCACCCCTTGCCTGGCCCACAAGCTTAAGGATTGATGCTTCAGTATGCACTGTAGCCTGCTGGCCCCTTAAACGCAGGCTGCTGGGAATCCTTTTGATCTCTTCTACTAACTCATAGTATGGAGACGAGAGCAATACATTCCTGTGCAGCCCAACTGTTCATGCTGTGGCGTTTATTCCTCAGTCACAAGCTGAGCTCACTACAAGATACAGGCTTTTTTTAATCTGCAGTGAAAGACTTTTCTTTGCTGTAAATTCCTTTTAATACCCTTTAATGAAAATGACAGATGGTGGGTGCTGCTACTACCTGGGGAGAGTCACCTGAGTAATAGACTTCTTGCTGCTGCTTAATATATTAAAGCATGTAGGAAAAACAGTTTTATACATTCTTTCAAATAGTTCCAGCAGGTGATCAACTAAGTGTTTCAGAAGGGTCTGTATTCTTTCTGTAGAGTCAACACAGGGTGCTTTCTTGTTTAGTCTTAGCAAAGTTGGACTTCACTAAAAATGATTTCTTAATTCTCAGTTCTTTGATTTGCATCTGAATACAGTGTTAGCTGAGCAATCTTCACCCTTGGGTTTGTTTTTGGCTTGTTTGGGATTCTCTCTTCCCCTGCTGCCTTTGCAGATCGTATTCACTTCCACAGTGATTTGCAGCCTGATTCACTCACTTTTTCCCAGTCCTGTTAAAGTCACCAAGTACAATGAGTTTTATGGTAACTTTTGTTAGACACTTGGAACACTTGACCTTTTTCCATCATTAACGTTTCTCAGATATTCAGTATGTTCAGTATATTCTCTATGTTTACGGAACCAGAATTCATAACTTCATGTAGTGCTTCATTTTTACATTCTGTTTTCTTGGAAATTAGAAACAAAGAAAACTGATCTTTAAGCTGGCCTTGATTTTGTTAGTGTTTTACAATCCTTCAGATGGGAGCAGTATATAAGTACTGATGTATTGTTTTTAATACTGCACGAAGTATATGGGAATTATTTAAACATATAAAGGACTGTTTTGTTTAAGTTTTGTAACTCTCTCCTCAGATTAACCTGAAAGACAACTTGGGGAAACTCTCTCATATACTGGAAATAGACCACTTTGCTCTAGTGGTTCATGAACAAATTCAATGTGAGTATGATGTACTGCGCCTTTTAAGAAGTAATCTTTGAGTGGTCGCAAGAAGCAAGTCCAAGTGTGAGTGTGTAAATGAGTTCTGAAGAAGCCAAATCCTCTTTCTATGTGTGTAACTATGTGCTACTGATACTTGGTAGGACACTAGCACTTTAATTCTTGTGGATAAGTGTTAAATCCATTAATAACCTCACATACTGTAATGGACCTGCTTTTGGAGCAAGGTATTGCTCAGAACTGAATGCCTGAGCCTAGTCCACTGCATAGTGGTTTTGTTAGTAGCAGTAAGCCAGTGAATAAGCTCCTGCAGTGCAGATGATCTTTGCTTCTTCCTACTCTTGTCATACAACTTCCAGCAGTTCCATCACAGCGAGCATCCCAGGTTAACTACACTTCAATTTTTTGCCTTTCTAAAGCAAAATCTTTATTGCCACTTCATAAAGTTTAGTAAGATCTAGATGCCAACACTGATATCGCTGTCTCAAAACAGCTTTATTTAGTTTTCCCATTTATTTTGTTTAACTTACTCCCCTTCACTTGATGTTTTGCCTCCAAACGCTACTTTTATTTATCCTTCTCAAAGCTCTTTACACTGCCTGCTTTATGATCTGGAAATGACTAAATCTTCAAAGCTAGGGTATATCACCGTTACACGTGAATAATATTTCTTCCTGGTTTATCTTCCTTATAGCAGGCAACTTGCAAAATTACAAACACTGAGAAACTAGACTAAAAATGTTATTAAGACTCACCAGATAAACTTATCTGACAGCTACCTCAATTGTAACTTGTAAATGAAGAATAGTCATCAAATCTGGGCTTGTTCCTGACAATATCCATAAGGATGTGTTCTTGACTTTGTGCTGACTATCTATAAACCTAGAATCTCACTGGAAGCTTACAAAGGAACAAAGACTGTGTAAATAAATGAAAAGTCCAGGACAATCCAGCTGGCTGAACAAACTGAATATACAAGTAGGCTAAACATCTCAGTGCAGCCAGACTTTACAGACAGGAAACTTGGACCACAGATAAAGGACCAGAGGTTATGTGGTTCCCAGGTCAGAGGCTTATGCTCACAATGAAAAATTGCTTGAACCTGTGCTGTCAGTGCAGCAATGATTAGATCGTTGATATTTTTTCTTTGGAAATAAATGGGAAAATGTTGTATTGTGATTTTTATACTAATTCTATATTTGACAGTGGTGTAGTAAGATGGTTGCATGTCCTCTAGTGGCCCTGGCTCAAATAAGGGATAATGTCAGTTTCAAGTGGAGCCACAGAAACTAATGTGTGAGGAAAATATGCTTTATAACAGAGGATTTGGTTTGAATTTTCATGTCCACAAAAAGTAATCTTATGGACTCTTATCCTTCCTTCCATAATGTTTCAGTTTCTAAATCCCTGTTGTTGAAGAGCCTTTCTGAAATGAAAATCCTTCAAACTTCCTGTGTGACTGTTGGTCAAGATGCCATTTGGGTTCCCCTTCCATGTACAAGGGTCACTAGTGATAACCAGCTCCACCAACAGGCACTGACATGTGGAGCTGGGACAGCTTGGCACCTGCCTTTACAAACAGTGCCACTAAAACCAAGTGGGATGGTGTGGGTTTGTGCCTCCTAAAGCCAAGTCTCCTCTTTGTTTCTGTGTAGATCACACTGACGGTTCCTCAAGTAAGCGGCAAATGGTGTTTGGCATCGTTACAGCCATCGACCTGCTTAACTTTGTGACTGCACGAGAACGGGAAAGAAAGTCCAACTAAAGTCAAGTAGCAACATGGAGCCTCTTCAACAACATTTTGCAATCTCCAAAGAAGTATCAGGTTTATTTCTTAGGTAGAATGGTCTGTCCTTGGGGTGTTTTTTCAAAAATTCTGAAAATAAGCAGTTAGCTATCCTGGTGTCAGCTATGCAGCTAGTGCATTTTACTGTATTGCACAGCTTCTGGGGACTTGTTTCTTAATCAGGTTACACAATATTTCTTATCAAGACAGTTTATTTTTTTACCTATATATATATGTATGTAAAAATAGTGCTTAAATTAACTGGTGTGTTCCTTACTTGTTATGTCTAAAGTCTGGCTTTCCAAAACATTGTTTCAGATTCATAAAATGTGTTGAAATAAAGAGTTACTGAAGCAGAGGCCCAAGAGAGCTCTGGAAAGTTTTGTTGGGTTGGTTTTTTTTTTTTGTGCAGGGTGTTAAGTTAGATAATACCTGTGTGGAAACAAAAATGGCACTGGGGCATGGAAAGAAGAAAGAGGGGTTTCCCTTTTGGTGAAATCGGTGTAAAACAGGAGGAAATCCTGAGGGCTGGAGATGAGGCTTGTTTCAACCAGCTGCTCTGAGGAAAAACTGACTTGAGTGGAAGCCTGACAGTGAAGTGATGAACATAAACTAGTGACTTTGTTTTACATGGTGCTTCCACTTTCAGTGCAAAGGCAGACGTTTCTTTTTTTCCAGTTACACCCTGATAAGTAAGCACCAGTGAAAAGATTAAAAGGTAAGATCAAGCTTCTTGCCTGAAGGTTTTTGAATATCATGCTTTCATCTAGTGCCTTCTCCTTACCTCCCCACCCTCTTATTTCTCTTAAAGTGCTGCTTCTTAATGCCAGTTTTAGAAGAGCCAAAGGTAACCTGTCAAGAGCTTTCAAGTCCTGTTTAAGTGCTCCTACACTGTAGTGCCTTATTCCAGGAGAAAAACCCTACTGTTAATTGAATTCACTGTAGCCAAGCTTGGAAGTAACTGGTAAACATGGTGTAGACTGTCACTGTCAAGAGTACACAGACTAATGTGCCGTAGGTGTGTGCAGCTACAACTTTTCACCACTTCTGTAACTCTGGATTCTTCAGTAAATGTTTGACTGGCGTAGCTGTGGCGCAGTTTGGCACTAGCAGCCCCATCTGTATGCTGCTGGGCTCAGGCTACCAACTGCTGCTAGTAGTAGTGATGAGTGGAATCATGCTGTGGTTATAAGAGAAAAGTAGCTGTTCTTCATCTTCATAAAGACTGTTCTAATCTTCTGACCGACCTTTTGCCAAGAATAGTTTTTGATCAGCAAGGAGTTACAGTTTTAGATTTTCTCTCCACTGCAGTAGAAAAATGCTATTTAGGCTGAGGCTATTGCTGGTAAGATAGCAGAGTTTTTTGTTTAGTTGATTTTTTTGTTTTTTTTTTTTTTTTAAACAAAAAACTGAAGGGAGTTGTGAGTGAGCTAAGGGAAAACAAAGGGGTTATTTAAAAAATCACAATTGCTACCTCCTGTATATAGATTTCTTTCTACCTTGCTGGCCTCCCTGTGGCAGTGGAATTTGATGTACGTTTTGGAAGTGTGTGCTCGGAGGACAGAGACAGAAGCCACCTGTCCCATGTCAGTGCTGAGCAAAAACCATCAGTTGTGCCTTGGGTGATGCTGGCCTGGGTGAGGGAGGCAAGTGCCTAAAGCCAAAGAAGTGACACCAGTGATGATGTCTGCCTGCCAGCACTGGGACAGCATGGTTTGTTTTCTAGCTGCTTCTCTCTCACCTTAAATTTATGAATGTTAAGAACTTCGTTGTAATAATAAAAAACCTCAGACTGATTTCTGATAATTCTTGTAATGCCACAGTGGTGAATGCTGAGTTCATTCTGCCCTTTTTCAGTTTATTTCCTTAGACATTAGCTGTCTCTTCAGATCAGGGCTATTACTGAAGTAACATGACTCATGCTTACCTTAACTATGGTTTAACAATCAAGTTCATATACTTCTTTAGGATTCAAGACAACTTTTCCTAAGGCTCTGGAATAAACTACTATAAATTCTAAAAATGCGCAACTTCAATAATAATTGGTTCTAAAGTATGGTTGATTTTTAAAAAATTATTTTTCCCTTCCCCCCCCCCCCCCCCCCCCCCCCCCCCCCCCCCC